CACCTGCCCTCCTCGTTGAGCTCTGCTCCATGTAGTCCACAACTAGCGTCATCAGCTGGGTTCAGTGCTAACTTCACGTGGCACCAATGTTCTGCATTGGAGTCCTTGTGCATCGTTGCCACTCGATTGGCCACAAAGGAATAGAGGCGTCTATTGGTGTTTCGTATGTACTGAAGGACTGCCGTACGGTCTGTCCAGATCACTGATCTGTCTATTTGTAATTCAAGTTCTCGCCATAGTTGTTTGTCTGCCTTGGCAGCCAGTACTGCTGCTCAGAACTCAAGTCGAGGTATGGTCTGTTTCAGAGGGGCTAGCTTGGCCTTGCCAAACGCTGAGGAGATATGGTGGGTTCCATCTTCATACGTGGTCCTTAGATACGATACAGCTCCATAATCTTGTTGGGAGGCGTTGCAGAAGTGGTGTAGTTGCACGGCAGCTACTGGATTTGTATACTCGGGTTGGTAGCACCGTGTACCCGTAATAGGTGAGGAAGTTCATCTAGCCATCTTCGCTGTGCCACCTTGTTTTATTCAGCTATTCATTCATCCCACCCAACTCCTCGTCTACACTCATCTTGGAATATGATTTTGACTCTTATGACGCTCGGAGCGATGAGTCCCAGTGGGTCATATATGGAGCTGACCATACTCAGAAGGCCTCATTTCATCTCTGGTTTCTTAGTGATCTGGACCCGGGCCGCTAGTTCGTCTTTCTCCAAGTCCCACAAGATTCCCAGCACGTTCAGTGGAGAGCCTGTCATCTTTCAAAATTACTTCCTTTACTCCCACGGCTTTCTCTGTCTGTGGAATTGCCTTGAGGACTTCCTTGTGATTACAGACCCATTTCCTAAGTCTGAATCCGCCCTTCTTCATTAGCTGTCTCAGTCGATGGGTAATTATCGTTGCCTTCCCTGGCGAATCAACTGAGAGAAGCAGATCGTCAACCTAGAAGTTACGATTCGCTTTCTTGATGTCGTCATGGAGACTTTCCCCGTAATCATGGAATGTTCGTTGTAGCGCATACCCGGCACATGAAGGACTCTACACACCTCCAAAGAGATGTACTGTCATTCCGCAAGTGGTGGGGGCCCGATAGCTGGTTGTCCGTCCACCGTAAGATGTCTCGATGTTCGGGTATTACTCGCACTTGGTGGAACATTGCCTCGATATCACCCATGAGTGCCACCTTTCCTTGTCTAAAACTGATGAGGACGCCAATCAATTTGTTGTTAAGGTCTGGCCCTTGCAATGACATCGACTCATACATGGCTGCACAATCTCAAAAACTATTCTCACCTTTTCTGGCTTGTTGGGATGGTGTGGGAGATACCAGTGCAACACCGAGTTCTTGACCTGGGACACGCTCAGCATGTCCCTCGTCGATTAGACGTCTCATCTCTTCTTGATACCTCTGAGAGAGCCCTGGGTTCTTCAGAAGGCGCTTTCTCAAGCCCGCCAATCATTGTTCGGCAAGCTTCTTATTGTCTGGGAGTCCTGGTTCTTCAAGGCGAAACCGAATGGGAAGTTGGTAGCGTCCGTTCACTTGAGTAATTGACGTTGACCACTGTATCAGGACTCTCTTGTCTTCGACAGAGATGGGATCATCATTACTGTAGGCGGACTCGCATTCCCAGAAGTGCTCGACTTGTTTTTTCCAGATTTGTCTCTGAATTCGGTGTTGCCAATCTGACGAAGTGGTTGATCACGGCTCATCACTCCAAGCGGTCCATATATAGTTCAGCCTAGAAGGTCGGTGTTGCAAACGGTTCTCCGTCCTTCCCGGTCCTTACTTCTAACTGTGCTAGTGCTTGTGGTACATCCAGACCTATCAGGAGGTCCACTCTTTTCGGTGCTTGGCATAACGCAGTACCTCGAAGGTGTTCCCACATGGTGACGTCTTGGGTGTCTGCAACCGACGCTCTCAGAGAAGACAGTAGATTCTCAACAACAATGACCTTGGGGATGGTGATGGATCGGCTCTTTCTTACTCCTACGCTAGCCACTTTAAGACTTCTCTCTTCGGTGTTTACACTATTTCTTTCTTTCATGATCGTGCCAATGGAGAGGGAAACTGGCCTTCCCTCTGCCTGCAGCCGGTTAGCTAGGCTACGCATGCAGTATGATCGGTTGCTGCCTGAATCCAAGAGGGCTCCGATGACCACTTCTCCTTTCGCCACTTGGTTCTTCTCAACCCTGACTTTCACTATTGGAAATACGACTGCTGGACCCTTGCAGTCATAACTCGCAATCCTTGGGTTCTTCGCACCAATCATCGCTTTCGTTGTTGGTTATGGTTTCCCTGACCCATCTATGCGAATTTCCTCTATTTGTGGTCACCAGCATGTTTTGTGTACTTCCAGTCCCTTTCCTCATGGTGCTTGCACCAGCTTCGGTCTTCCATGATTTAACTCCACTGGTTACCGATTCCGGTGGCGGTATAATGTCCTTAAGTTGACTCATTCCAGGTCACTTGTGGTCAGGCGATATGTCTATTTGGCAGG